ACGCCTTAGATGTCTCATCAGCTATGGAAACCATCTGGGGCTTAGTTTCCTGTTTGTAAAATGAGAATGACATACAGTTCCTTTTTTTTTTTCAGGTTTCATTGGAGATTTAGAATCTGTGTAAATGCTGGCCCTCATTCTGACTCTGGAATAGTGTGGTTTTCGTATGAACATGCTTGGGTACTAGTGTTAGATTTATCACGTATTGTTAGGTTTTAATACTATTATAACGAGGCTTGGTGTGGATGTCTTTGGAGCCCAGGTGCTGGTTTTGTTTCTGTGTCACTTTCTGTGCCTGGTCATATGGTTTTTCTACCATGGCATTGACTAATAGGTCTCATCTTATGTGCAAATAAAGTCCCATGGGGAAGAGATGAGGGCAGGTTCCAAGCCTGTTATAGGCACCTGTGGGCCCCTTCTGGACCGTCTTCACAGTCAGAGAACCCATAAATGCTGAAATTGGAGGTCCTTTGAGACAGTTTAACTCACATGAAGAATCATCAGCCTGAGAAAAAACAAGAATCTTACAGGCTAGGTTCACATCAGGACCAGCGGAAGCACAAACCAGAAGGCATTCTCTTAACTACTAATACAGTATTCTCTCAACTCCTAATGCAGTATCTACAGCTAACCAACCAATGTCTGCCATGTTGTATGTTCTCTATCTTCTCTCCCTCCCCCCTCCCCATCTCTATCCATCCATCTATCCATCCATCTATCTATCTACGTTGTCTATCTTCTCTCCCTCCCCCCTCCCCCTCTCTTTCACTCTCTTATCTATCTATCTATCTATCTATCTATCTATCTATCTATCTATCTACCCATCTTCCTATCTTTTTATCTGTCATCCATCTAACTATATAGCTTGTCATCACTGTGTCAGTCACTGCTTTCATTGCTATGCCCAAATAACTTGGCAAGAAGCTATTTAAGGGTAGGTGTGGTAGACCTGGCTCACATTTGTAGTCCACAATGACAGGAGAGGCATGGTGGAGCACGTCGAGGCATGGCATTGAGGGCATGTGGCGGATGCTGTTGACACCAAGGTAGACCAGAAGTAGAGTAAGGGGAGTGCCAACCTTCTACTTGCTTTCTCCTTTGCCCTTTTTATCCTCCCCGGTCCCTGGTCTGTGGGATGGTCCCTCTTCACCGAGGGCAGTCGGCTTGCCTCAGTTCGTCCTGGGAACATTCTCACAGGTACATCTGAAGGTTTGCTTCACTAATGCCTTAGGCAGCATTTCTTTTGTTTTTCATGTCTGTGTGCAGGTGTGTGTGTGTGCGTGTGCGTGCGTGCATGTGGAGGCCAGAGAACAATGTCAGGTCTCATCCTCAGATACACTATCCCCTCTCACTGGCATTGAGCCCAACCAAGCACCTAGCCCCAGGAACTTTTCCAATTTTTTTGTTTGAGACAGGGTTTCTCTGTGTAGCCCTGGCTGTCCTATAGCTCACTCTGTGGATCAGGCTGTCCTCAAATTCTCCAGATCCATTTGCCTTTGCCTCATGAGTCTTGGGATTAAAGGAGTGTCCCACTACCTCCTGGCTGAATTTTCTGTTTTTTAACCTCCCCAGTGCTAGTAATTCAGTTGTTCACTGCCATGCCCTGGCATTTTCAGTGGGCTCTTGGAGCTCAAATTTGGGTCCTCATGTTTTCAAGGTAAGCACTTTATGGATTGAACTGTCTCCATTCCTTAGTCATTTCTTTTTTTTTCCTTTCTTCCTATTTTTTATTTAAGTTAGAAACAAACTTGCTTCACATGTTAATCCCAGCTTCCTCTTCCTTCCCTCCTCCCCTGCCCCTCCACCAGGCCCCCGAATCCCCCACTCAGTCCCCACTCTGTTCCCCAGGGAGGGTGAGGCCCTCCATGGGGGATCTCCAGAGTCTGTCATTTCATCCAGGGCAGGGCCAAGGCCCTCCCACAAGAGTCCAGGCTGAGCAAGCATCTTTCATCGTGGGATGGGCAGCCAAAGTCCATTTGTACACCAGGGATAAATACTGATCTACTACCCAAGGCCCCACAGATTGCCTAGGCCTCCTCACTGACACCCACATTCAGGGGGTCTGGATCAGTTCCATGCTGCCCTCCCAGCCATCAGTCTGGGGTCCAAGAGCTCCCCCTTGTTCAGGTCGGCTGTTTCTGTGGGTTAGACCAGCCCCGTCTTGACCCCTTCCTGGGTCATTTCTTACCCAATGAACTTGGCAGATTTCTGTCTCCACCACCTCCACCACCTGTCTCATCTAACTCATCCTCCGGTTTAGTTCTTTTCAGATCACTGAGTTATGAAGAGTGGGGTGGCTTCATGTTTCCTTTTCTGTGTCTTTTGCAAGTACAGAAACTGACTGCATAACTGTCTTCTCAGTACTCTGCATCAATCTCTTTTTCAAGGTTTCAGACTCTGTTGTCATTATCACAGACCAGTTCTTCTGGTTACTTTGTGGAGCTAGTCTGTTTCACGGAGGGGTTGTCAACTGACACTCTCCATAGAATCTCCTGTGAGTGGTGAGGGTCTGAGACAATTTACCAAGAATTTGGTTTTTTCCCCCAGGGGCCCGAGACCAGCCTGATCCTGTAATACCATGGAGCACTTTGGAGAGAGAGAAGGACCCTAAAGCAAACATACCCACGCCCTGCTTCTATCAACACAACTATTTCTGCCCTCAGCACACAAGGATCAAGTTCCCCAAATTTCATTTAATTTCCTTGGCTCCTGTATTGAGTTACAGCCGGGCCACAAGGGAACTTGGCACCAAAAGTCAGCAAGGAAGATGCTATTTGGCTGAACTTTGTGGCTCAGTTCTACAGACGTTGTAGCTTCAGATAAGGTGGTGGGTGGCCCATTAGTTCTTTCTACATGTTGCTCTGGAGGAACGTGAACTCTGCCACTCCCGCTCTGACGGTTCCCTGCAATAAGGAACAGCCATCCCCGAGTCCATGCCAAGCTTCCCCACAAGCTGTCTCTTCTCACTGCCTTTCTTCCAGATATCCACTTCCAGCCTCTTTGAAGACTGTAGCCCCAAAGTAGCTGCTTGGAGGCATATAGGTGCCCTGTCTGGCTGTTCACACGAAAAGGTAAGAAACAGAGTTTTGATTCACATCCTTCAGCAACCCAGCCTTTCGCTGCAGGGTTTCAGTGAATGCTCTGCCTATGGTTTCTTTCCAGCTCTAGTGTCCTAGTTAGCTTTAGCTGTCAACTTTGCACAGCCTTGAGTCACCTGAGAGGAAAGCCTCTGTAGAGTAATTGCCCAGATCAGATTGGCCTGTAGGTGTGTCTGTGGGGCACTGTCTTGACTGATAATTGACGTAGGCAGGCCCAGCCCACTGTGGGTGGCATCATTCCCTAACCAAGTGGTCTTGAGCTGCATAAAAAAGCAAGTTCAGCATGAGCCTAAAGCAAGCCAGGAAGTGGTCTTCTGTGGTTTCTACTTCAAGTTCTTGCTTGAGTTCCTGCCCTTCCCACTCTTAATGATGGACTGAGACTGGGACATGTAAGCCAAATAAACCCTTTCTTCCTCTAAATTGCTTCCAATCAGAATAACAGTGTTTTATCTTAGCAACAGAAAGAAAACTAGAACACACTGCTAGCTACATGTTTCGTGTTGTGCTGTGTGTGAATGTGTATTCGTGAATGTGTGAATGCGTGAATGTGTGTGTGTGTGTGTGTGTGTAAGCAAAGGGCCAATTTAAAAAACTCCAGGAAGTAGGATAATATACTTACAACATTTACAAAATTTAATGCTCTGCCTTCTAGGCCTGGTACATACCTAATGCATAGTGGCCACCCAGTTTATACTGATTTGTTAGGAGGAATGAATGGATGACTGTCTTGTTCTATCAAAACATTGTGTCCGTCTGGTTTCCCTCACTCAGTTAAATATGTGAGATAACAAATTTATAGAGAACAAGGGTTTGCTTTGACTCACAGTTTTGGAGGTGTCAGGCCATGGTCACTGTTGCATTCAGGCCTGTGGTAAGGCAAGAGCGTATGGCAGAGCGAAATCCTTTATTCACCTCGTAGTCAATTAGTATTTTGTTATGTGAAAAAAAATGCCTGCAATAAACAACTTTCAAGTTTGTTTTGGCTTCTGGTCTCAGATGTGTTCGTCTGTGGTGGGTCAGGGTTGTTACTTCTGGGTCTTCCCAAGGCAGAGCGTCGTGGTGGGAGCGTACGGCAGACAGCTGCTTTGCTCATGGTGCCAGGCAGCAAACAGGAAGGGGCAGAGCCACACCCTGCCTTTCCAAAGCTCTCACCCACCTTTGTCACTAAGTCCTGCTTCTTAAAGGTTCCACCACCCATTGCCTCCAAGACATGCCACAGGCCTGTTCTCTTCCAGTCAGTATACATGGATCCTGGATAGGGGGATACCCTTGAGTCCATTAGGTTATTTCCAAGCTTTGGAGATTGTTGGGGGTTCTTAACATCCATGTTTCAAGACTAAACACAATTCAGTATGTGGTTTGACCATTCTAAGCTCGGCAGTCCATTGGTGGATGGAGTCAGGGTAATTGGAAGGAGACAGCAAACCATCTCTATTCACAAAGGACATGATCTTTTACACACACCAAAAAAAGTATTAAGCAAAAACAGGTGTCACGGTCTGGCCCTATAATCTCAGTGCTTGGGAAACTGTCTGGAAGACTACTGTTTTAGGCCAGACTGGGCTGTATAGCACATACCAGGCTAACATATCAAGACTGTCTCAAAAACCGAAAGAACTATCCCCACAAAACCAACAAGCATGATGGTTCATGCCTATAATACCATCACTAGGTAGATAGAAGTAGGAGAGAGAGAAGTAGCTAGCCTGGGCTACATGAGGCACTGTTTCCAGCAACACAATGAAAACAATAAACAATAAAAACCCAGAAAACTCTAAGATATCTAGCAACCAAGCAATCAAAGTAGTGAAACAAGATCCAACAAAAGAGTTCAACAGGTTTTGGGTTATAAAATCAGTACACACATATACATATACACACACACACACACAAATCATATGTTTTTTTTTCTTTTAAAATTTTATTTGACAATAAGCAAACAATTAACATAAGCAACTCCAGGTTAGCTCTTCTTACATCAGGAGAAGCAGCTGACTTAGCAGGAACTGATTTAAGGACTCCTGTCAGCTGTTGTCCACGACTGCAGCAGGGTACCTAGCCAGATCACAGCACCGCCACCGAGTCAGCCACCCGCCCTATTGCTTTTCCCAGCTGGTTTTACTGGAGTCACAGGACACAAACACTTGTTCAGCTGTACTGCCTGGGATCATCCAGGAAGCAAAGTCTCTGGTTGTGCTGGGGGGGGGGGAGACACAGGACTTAAAACTCGTCCCATTAGATGGGGTCACTGGACACCGGCTCCTCACTGCAAAGGAGGCTGAGACAGGCATCACACCGGTCTCTGATTCACGACGGATGTTTAGCTTTCTTTCTGTAGACCTGGTCTTTTTACTTGGATTTTTTTTTTCTTTCTCTACTTTTGGAGTTACTATTCTTTTAATAACAATATAACAACCCCACCCCAGCGCCAAATATCCACCAGAATGGGGCTTAAACTTGATCAAAACAAACTGGGAGATGCAACTACCATCTAGAGTCTTTAGGGCAAGCAACAAGAAAGAGTCACCCAAAACTAAGCCGTACAACCGTCTCCTCTATGCAGGGTGGGAGTGAGAAGAGGCGAGACATGCTACTCATCGCTCAGCCCGATGACTCTGCAGGGGGACGGCCAGGACCGGCAAGCGACCGACTCTTCTACTTCCCAGACAGCTGCTTGTACAGTTTGGGCACATAGTCGTCCCATTCCGCCTGGTAACACGTGCCGGCTACCGGGGCGCCCAGGTGATACTTCTTGCGGAAGGCGGCCACCTTGAATTTGCCGCGGTTGTCTCCTGACCGGTTGCTGAGCACTGGCTCGTCACACTTCAGCGGCTTGTCCTGCTCGTACACCAGCCAGACGTAGCGATGGAGGCCGGTACCACTGGGAGGCCCGGAACCCACATAATCCGAGAGGACCTTTCCACTGCTGATGTCGTTGCCTTTCATGTTGACCACCAGGAAATGGTGCCACTCCCTGTACTTGGGCTCTTTTCTGCTGGGAGCATCCGGGTCTGTGAGGACCAAGGTGTAGAGCTTCCCTGGGTCAAGGCCATCCCACGAGATGCTGCTGGGTCTATTCTTAACCTGGGTGGGCGTCAGCACTTGGCCCAGCTCATCCAACTCCACTCCAGCATAGGTGACCCGCAGCGGGTGTTGGGGCCGCTCATCCACCTCCTGTAGGCTCAGCGGCCCGGCCCACTTGCTGATGTCTGCCGGCATGGCAAGAGGCTGCGGTGGCAGTTGGGTGCAAACAACCGGAACCCGCGTGCGTGCGTGCGTGCGTGCGTGCGTGCGTGGGTGCGTGCGTGCCGTGCGTGCCGTGCTGAGAACTGGTTGGTGACCACGTGAGCCCTGTAGCCGCGGGAGCACACCCCTTTGTATTCCTATATACCTTGATGAATATCCAAAAAAGAGTATTAAAAACTAACTTAATTTGTTAAAGTACTAAAGTTGTAATGCGCGAGAACAAATTTGACAAAAAATTATGAAAGCCATAGTGTGAAAAGTACAAGATATTGTTGAAAGATACTGGACAGGGTCTAAGTAAATGGAAACCCCTCCATGTTTGTGGACCAGACTTAGGATTTAACAAGAAATAAATATCCTTTAAGATGGTGTGTGGATTCAACGAAAGTCCTATCCAAATCTCAGCTTCTTGCCAGAAACTACTGAGTTTTAAAATCTGTATGGCTGGATTTGCAAGGAGCCAGGTTAGTTAAAGCTGTCTTGGAAAAATAAGTTGGAAGACGCACATGTTTCCTGATGGGAAGTCAGAACCAAACAACAATGACTGAGACAGTGGCTCACCAGCCCAACAGAGACACAGGAACCCGGGCACGAGTGCTGGCTCCAGATGTTCACCCTGTGACGTGACTTTCAACAAAGACACCAACGCACTCCACAGGGGAGAAAGCAGTCTTCAACAAGTGGTTCTGAAATCAAAAGGCACAGAGAAACAGAAACTTAACTAAGTGTTAGTCTCTAAGAATACAGTATGAATGTTAAGATGGCTTCTACTATGCTATCCTCCACAAGGAACACACACACACACACACACACACACACACACACACACACACACACCAAACAAATAAAATAATGTAACAAATCAAAACCAAATACAATACACCAAGACGTGAGCCACAAAAAAAAAGACAAATGAACTCCATTAAAATTAAAATATATTCTGTTTCCAAAAGTACCATTAATAGTGAGAAAAGACTGAGATGGGCCAGCAAGATGGCTCATTAGGTAAAGGTGCCTGCCACCAACGTGACTGTCTGAGCTTGGTTCTTGGGCTTCACATGGTTGAAGGAGAGAACTAATTGCCTGACCTCTGCACACTTGTAATAGCACATACCCCTTAGCATCTATACTAAATTAAAAAACAATTTAAATGTAATTAAAAAATCAGAAAAGGCAATATGTAAAGTGAATTTTTAAACATTTTTGCTGATCACATATTTGGTAAAAGTCTTATGTCTTGACTCTACACAGAATATTACCAAGCCAGGCAGTGGTGGTGCACGCCTTTAATCAGGAGGCAGAGGCAGGCAGAGATCCCTGTGAGTTTGAGGCCACCCTGGTTTACCTAGTGAGCCCTAGGGCAGCCAGGGCTACACAGAGAAACCCTGTCCTGAATCCCCAGCAAAAGAATACTTACAATTTAATAATAAATTCTAACTAATTTAAACAAAGGGTTAAGGCTCAGAACAGACTTTTCTGTTAAGAAGATACTGAAATGACCAAGAACACAAGAAAAGATGGTAGACATTGTAGTCATCAGGAAAATACAAACCAGTAACTTAGATTCACCAGACTGACAACAGTCAAATACAGAATCCCTCATAGACTCCTGGTGGAGAGGAGAAATGTTACTGTTTGCTTCTCAAGTGACTGCCCATAAAAGTTACTTTATTACCCAGCTTCAGCTTCTGGTTATACACCCAAGAGAGGCGAAAATATATATCCACATAAAAAGTTGTATATCAGTGTTTATAGTAACAATATTCACAATAGCCCAAAGTTGGGAGCAACCCAATGTCCATGAATGGATGAACGGATAAGCAAAATGTACTTATATACAATGGGAGCAGAATTCTACTCAGCCATAAAAGGAAATGGAGCTCTGATGCATGCTGTGACATGGATGGACTTTGGAAACATGAATGTAAATACCTATCAGTTAGAAAATACTAACTACAGTCTGGGCCACTAAGATGACTCATCGAGTATAGGTGCTCTCCAGGCAAGGCTGGCGACCCGAGTTCTATCCCAGAACCCACAGAGTGAAGCACAGAACAGACCGACAAAGCTGTTCTCTGGCCCTAATCACACTGTGGCACGTAAGCCCCGCCTCCCTGAATCCTGCAACACACACACAACAACAAGTACATTTAAAATAAAACCCCAGTCTATATGAGTCTGCGTCTGCAAAGCATCTCTAGAAGGCAAATCTACAGAGATGAATCTAGAAGTTGTTTAGTGGTTGCTTTGTGTGGCAGCTGGGAAAATGAGGAGCTGACAGCTAAAAGGCACAGGGTTCCTTTTTCCATGAAGAAAATAGTCTTAGTTTGAGGGTGTTGGTGGCTTAACATGTACCTTGACTATCCTAAAGAAGCCACCAAATTGTACCTTTTAAGTGATTGAATTGTATGGTATGTGAATTATATTTCCATAAAGCCATTATGTAAAACAAACAAAAGCCTACAAGATATTGGCAGTGAAGGCTCCCTGGGGGAACAGGCCTCTCTAGGCAGCCCTGCCTGCTGTCAGGTGGTCGCAGCTTCTCACTATGTGGGTTTCTCCACTGGGACTCTGAAGGCACTTACAGACAGCAGCTGTCTTCCCCAGAGGGAGTGAGTGACCCAAGACAGAATGCAGTGAGAATTGCAACAACCAAGACAGCCTATTGCTGGAGACTTGCAGAGTTCTGTTGCTCAGTGGGAAGCAGCTAAGGGTGAATATACTAAGTGTGACAGTCCTTTGGAACCAGTTGGAGCCTGGAGCATTACCTTGCAGGAAGCTTTCATTATGAACTGGGGCACTAGGTATAAGATAGGTGATAAATGTTAACTCAGCAAGTAAATACTGAACATCCAGTATGGCCTAGATTGTCGAAAGTTAAATATGGCTTATTCATATTTATTTACGCAGAACTCTCACAGACTCTTATAATCCTGGGACTATCAGTCAAATTGATGTATATTTAAATTTTTTTAAATTTACATTCTTTTTTCAAGACATGGTTTCTCTGTGTAGCCTTGGCTATTCTGGAACTCAATTTGTAGACCAGGCTGACCTCAAACTCACAGAGATCCACCTGTGTCTGCCTTCTGGGTGTTAGGGTTAAAGGTGTGTGCCACCACCCCTGGCACATTGTGTGTGTGTGTGTGTGTGTGTGTGTGTGTGTGTGTGTGTGTTTAGAGGCCAGAAGATATCTTTGGGAGTTGGGTCTTTCTGTCAGATCCAAAGGAAACTCCATTTCTCAAGATTACAAAAGTCAGAAGGGACAAATGGCTTCCTATGGTGCCTATAAAAAGGTTTTCTGCTCCCCCCACCCTTCATAATAGATTTCCCTGCCGATGCAGTAAGCCAGATCAAGCCAATTGGAAAAGTAAAAACAAACAACGACAAATCAGGTTTATTTCAGCAAAGCAATTCCTGGGAGGCGGGGCCCTCTAGTCCCAGAGATTGAGGCCAGAGAAGCTGCACCCACAAACAAAAGCAGGGAGACTTTACAGGTTGTTGGTGTGGAATGATGATGTGTCTGCCGAAAGCTGGGCTTCTGCCCAAGTATGGTTAGAAGCTGAGCACCTCAGGTGGGGGCTTGAGGGGCTGTAACTTCAGGGGAGGGAGCTGCAGTAGCCACCAAGAATGTGGAACTGGGCTTTTTGGTGCCTTTCCTTTGTTGGGAGACTCTGATTGGGCAGGGTTTGGAGAGAACGAGAGGGGGGGGGAGCGGGAGGGAGGGGAGGGGAGAGAGAGGAAGAGGGAGAGGGAGAGGGAGAGGGGGGAATAGGGCTTTCCCGATCAGGCAGGGGAGGGCTGGGGGTTCCAAGCAAGCACCTGTTAGCATTCCAATGTGTATCTGGCCTCTGGGGTCCCTCAGGGTTGCAGGTCCCAGTCCATGCCAGCTGTCATCCTCAGCTCAGCTTCCTCAGCTCAGCTTCCTCAGCTCAGCTTCCTCAGCTCAGCTTCCTCAGCGTACACAGGCCTTCCCCCCTTCAGCTGCTCCTTCTCTATGCTCTCCCTGTCTCCTCCTTTCCCGGCTCCCTCTGTCTTTCTCCTCACAGAGACCCACCTCTCTGGCCTCCTGCTCTGTCCCCCTCCCCCATCTTCTGCTTACTCTCCCTCCCTCTCATGCTTTCCTTTCTGTTTTCCTTTAGCTCTCTGCTCTGCTCCTGTTTTTCTCCTGGCCAGGTCCAGTCTGCTGGCCATGCTCAATCTACTCCGTTCTCTCTCTGCTCTGGACTCTTTCAGATTGCTCTCTCTCATATCTACAATAAAACACTTCACCCTTAACGGGAACACAGAGCGGTCATATCATTGGTTTGCACACTTTCTTTCTACCGTGTGTATCCTCGGGATTGAACTCAGGTCCCTGACCTTGGCCGCAAGCCCCCTCACTTGCTAAGCTATCTCACTGGCCCTCCTGAGGTGTAATTTGGAGATTATGTGTTTCTGTTGGCATTGGGTTGACAGGAAGAAACACAGATGTGAGGGGGAAGCTGGGAAGTCTATCGTTTACCAGGAGCAACACTCAGAGTTCTTTGGTTTTTTGTTCCTTCCCTTGTGAGGTCAACAAGGCTTTATCTCTCCACAGCTTTATTATGTGGGCTGGGAGGTATGCTGCAAAATTAACAAAGAGAAGGAGAAAACAAACCCAGGATAGACTGTCTAGTAGCTGGGTGAGTCTGGGGAGAAGGGCTTCACCCCCCACCCCCATCCCCCATCCCTCCCACCCGCTAGGGTGGCTGTGTGGCATCTGGCCCTGCCTCAGGCCAGCCCCCAGGGGTGTGGCTACAGACAGGATGGAGATGAGGGTGTGGTACCCAGATGTCTGTGATCTCCAGCTCACTGCCCTTTCGGCCACCTCTCCCTCCCATGCTGATAGTTTTGGAAACACAGCACTCTGAAAGCCCTGGAGGCCAGCTCTAGGGCCACTGTGAACCTCAGACACTTCCTGGCAGCCTGTGAGTTCAGGTTCAGCAGTTGTAAGTGAGGCTCCTGCCATTTAGGAACTTTTTTAAATTGACAGTATTGCCATTTAACTTT